AAGGAAAGAAATATCAAGTCCAATAACGCGACAAAATGTAGATAAATCGCTAGTTTCAATAGAAAAATTATCAGTCACAAGTGAAATGACAGCTGTGCAGCTTGTAATTAGGCAACAGCGATAAGATAAGTTACTCCACCAAAACAAGTAATGGCCACATAAAGTATAGATCGAGTGGTAACGTTAGCATTCAACAATTCGGTTACAAGTGAGCTGAAAGTGGAGCTGCAATTTCCTGCTCAGCTTCAACAACTACCGAAAACATAACCGGTTTGTGCGCTTGTTGGGAAGAAACAGCCAAAACAAAGAACTCTCGCGGAGCAGAGAACAGTAACTAGTACATGACGAGAACCCGGTGCCCTGAATCCGAATCAGTTCATGGATATTCACACTACGGGCCACCAGGGCCACCAATTCCACTAGTGAATCGCGCAGGGACGATGGGGATCATTCCCAAATCCTGAGATGCTGGAGCCTAGCTTCCCACCTAACCAAAATCCGCGAAACCTACCCCGACTGATTAAGATCTGAGCGAGAAGCGGCGAGCAGACGAAGTAGATCGGGGGGGGGGGGGGGGGGGGGGCTAAGCAGGAGCTATCCCCACGGCGGAGGGAGGGAGGGAGGGAGGGAAGAAGGAGGAGGAGCAAAAGCTTACCGGAGGGGCGCAGGGCGCTGGCACGGCGGCGGAGGAGGTGGTGGTGGTGGAGAGGCTACTGCAAGCTGCTGCTACGAGGAAGCGGCGGCGGAGAAGGCCGCGAGACGCGAGGGGAGAGGAGAGAGAGAGAGAGAGAGAGAGAGAGGCTACTGCAAGCTGCTGCTACGAGGAAGCGGCGGCGGAGAAGGCCGCGAGACGCGAGGGGAGAGGAGAGAGAGAGAGAGAGAGAGAGAGAGAGGAGAGGAGAGGCGGAGTTCAATGCTGGCGCCGCATGATGCGGGTGGTGGCGGTGATTGCCGTACGCCGTAGGGAGGGGACGGGAGGTGGACTCCAGCTCGACCTTGCCTATCGTGAGACGGTCTCGCTTCGCAACCAGCCGTTCCCCCGTTCCGTCTAGCCACTCCGGTGTTTGCTTGGTAAGCCAGTCGCTTTTCTAGTTCCATACATTTAAATTTTATGCAGCGAAACCAACTGTATCGTGTACTTATTATTATTAACACTATAACTGATATCGATAAAATTTTTTTAGACTATCAAACTAAGAGTTCATAAAATAAATTATAAACTTCTTATACATTAACCAATACATAATAATCGATAATAATTGAACATATATTCATGAACGAACTAAAATCGCTGAACACACGTGACTACTCCAAAATCCACAGGCTATTGTCTCTTTTTCCATCGCTTCTCTCCCTTATCTTTCTCTATCTATCTAAACTGCATCATGTTCTCAAAAGAAGAGAAGACGAAGGTGTGTCTTGGATCTGGATTAGTGTGGCTTAACTACACATTTACGAGGAAGCGTTGGTAAAGGTGGGTAGGCGAAAAACACCATGACACAAAGAGGCGGAATTCAATGCTAACTTATGATGTGGAATGACGCATTAATCGTCATACAATATAAGGAGAGGGGAGGTGAACCCAGCTCAACCAAATCATCAGGAGCCCTAATACGATCATGCAACCAAACAACCAAAATATTCCATATTGCTCGATTCACACCATTGGTATGCTTGTCACGAGCTCATCTCTAGATATGTCACTGTACCATCTTCCATCTTCCAGTATACGTCTTTATTACGACAACCTCCAACCATTTCAAATACATGCCACTACATCTGGTTAATCGCTAAAAAATCATATTAGAACTAGATAGTGATAGATTTGTGAGCCATATCATTTAATTTACGAGACAACGTTTTCAGTTATCACTACTACTTTTTCTAAGTATTATAACTACCGTGAATAAAGTTTTATTTTACATATCTTCTATGGTGCATAAAATTTTTTCAATAATAAAAAAAATATTTGTGTGGCAACCAATTGTCGACGTTTGATATCGCGACTATGGTATTTTGCATAGTATGGAGATCATTGGTACAAGGGTATATGCGAGATTGAGGTAAAACAGATGGAGACAAGGATTTTTATACAGGTCCAGGCCCCTTATTTGACAGGTAATAGCCCTACTACTGTTGGTTGAAGCCGGTGTTTCTTATTTATCATAATCACACCGGTACAATAATTGAGATAACTTATCTAGCTATTGTCGACTTAACGGCATGGATAACCAACTCGTAGTCGACGACAGGGTAATCTTCTTCCTCGAGTCCATACTCGGCGAGATCAGAGATAGCGCTAGATCTCTCTTGTTGGCCTCCGCAGATACTATATTGGGTTTGTCTAGGCTTATCTCTGATATCGATATCCGGCGGCTTGTCTTGACGTGTGTTGGCTTGTATTGATCTATGTTGATATGTTGTGTCTTGTGGCTTCCCTCCTCTCCTCCTAGGGAGGCTTGTATTTATACCCATAGATGCCCCCTTATCCAAGTGGAACTAGAGAGACCAATATGGATATAATCCGGGTAGTCCTTGTCGTTTCCATATAGAACTCTATTCGTCCTTCAATATACGAGGTATGATTCCGTATAAGACATGGTACATGGTGGACCATGCCGAGCTTAGTCAACTAATATTAGGTATGTGGTATCCATAACCATGACACCAATATAGTAGATATTGCTTGGATAGACATCCGAGTGAACTAAAATCTTTGGACCCCACAACCACTCTATAGTTTATTGAGCTATCGGCCATTTTCCCTCGTTGCTTCTCTCTTTGACTCTCTTATTGTTTATATATTTCCATGAAACCTCCGTCACTATCAACATCTATTCATAACTCTTTATATTTCCTTCCATATCCTTAAAATGGATGGAACGATAGCCGTTGGTTGCACTTTGGGTGAGTGTTGACCTTGCGACAACCAAGATATGATCGTGCGATGCAATAATGGGATCAGCATGGCTCAATGGTAAGGAAGTTTGTGACCATCCCTCCTCTAGGTTAATATGTACAAGCTAACTGGAATAATTTTTCTCTATCTATTATTTTCTCGTAAACTGTGTACTTCTATAAAGATTGAATCAACTTATAAAAATAATAACTATAGAGTATAGAATAAGATACATTGTTTATTAGCTAATATTTAAAACAATAAAATAGTCAGAGCTTTTCTTTTAAATAGTGTACTTGTATATGTTAGACAAGCATTTCAAGAAGGAAAATCTGAGTTCATGTTCCATTTATTTTACCAACCAGGTCTTCCATATCATTTTTTTTATGAAAATGAAAGGATTTTGATACTTGTCATGAGGTACTTGTGGATGTATCACGACTTATCGATCGTCATAGGTATATAAACGTAAATTGCGTCAATGTTCTACCTAAAAATTTAGAATAACCGTACTACATATTCTACGTAATAAGAGTAAGGAGGAACAAACTACCATTGCAACACCTCGTGCAGTTCTAAACTATCCCAATTTCTTTTAAAGGATTGTGTAATCCACACTCTTATTAACTTTGGACCATTTTGTTTTAAAAGTGGCTCCAACAGATATAATACATTGTGACAAAAATCTTATATTGGGATCATGGTTGTTAAGTCGTAAAGTTGAGATCGAGATACCCCTAGACTGACCTGTCAAATTGGTTGACTAGTCAATTACTTGGTCATGCAAAAACAGGGATGCAATATATAGTCTTTACCACTGTTATACTATGCTAAGCAATACATGTAGTATTACTGTAGAGTAGAATGCAAGATGATAAGTTGATAAGAAATAAAACTGAAGTACTAAACACAATAAGCCAATTGGTGAATTGGTGATTTTCTACGACTAATCTATGACTAACCATGACTAATCGCATGACTTGTTATTTGGTCGAGTCGTGGTTCTCTAGTCGACTTGCTTGATCGACTTTACTATTAATCGCAACTAGCTGGGTGACTTGATAACAATGGTTGGGATGTATGGAGATTTCTCTATTTGACCCAATCAAACCAAGTTCAGCTTATAATGGAAGATACTATGGTATGTGTGATGGAGCCAACGACACACCATTGAGCCCAGTTAACTAATATCATTTCCCATAATTGATTACTTTTTTCATACATCAATAATAAACAATAGAGAACCGGTAGCAAAAAAAATGTAAGGATGTAATCCGAGCGGCCATCCGACCTAGCAGGAGGTGGCTCCGCCACTAGTATTAGAAAAACAGAAGAGTTTATTTTTATTTTTTGTGCACATTGAATTCAATTTTATTCCATATCCCTGCATAGTTAAGGGTGTGTTTGGATGGATATTATGGCGGCTTGTATTTTGTGGGTGATGGTGGGTGGGAGTGGGATAGGGCGGCCCAGAGAGAAATATTCCCCTTAGATACCGTATGGAGGGATCCGGACGATTTGCCCAGACGCAGCCAACTGAGCGCCCTAACGGATGGAGGGATCTTTCTGTTTTTCTCCCTTTCCCCCTTTTATGTGCGTGTGATTTTTTTATTTCTCTTTAGAATTTTGTTTGTTTGTAATAGATTGGTACTTTTGTCGGCCTTGTGAATTTGAAGGGGGTATACTCACCACCTGTATTCAATTGCAACCATTCATCTATCATACTCTCTCTAACCAAAACAAATGGATCACCGAACCGACCTTCATTCTTACAAGTAAAAAAAAAATCTTAGATAGCCATCTTCACTCAACTAAAAAAATAAGGCGCCATATTCCTTTTCAGTTAAATGCATGTTACATTTGTCGGTAATATGTGAGCCGAAGTCACGTAACTTCGACTGCAGATGATCCTGATTCGAACCAGACGTGCCCTAAACTCCTGAATAATCATTATTATAAGAAAAGAAAAAAAAGAATTCCTAGAAACCGGGGCCATTTCTAGCGGAGAGGAGGCAGGGTCCCCGGGGTCCACCCATACGCCACAGGGGAATCTGCCCACACCCACACCACCGTCCCCTTCCTCCTTCACCCCGCCCCCGCCGCTTCCTCCTCCCCTCCACCGCCCCACGCCCCCCCAGATCCCCCAACCCCATTATTAACCCACCGACCCCCGCGCGCGCCACTGGATCTCGCCTCGATCGCGGCGGTGGCGGTGGGGAGGGGAGCGCACCGCCTGCCCAGCCATGAGATGGTATGCTTCGCTAGCCTGAGGAGGGCTCTGCCTCTGCTGCTGCGCGCCACCACCACCACCACCCCCCGCTTCCTTCTCCCCAGGGCCCTCTCCGGCGGCGTTGGCGGCGGGGCGGCGGTGGATGCGCGCGCGCTTCTCCGTGGGCACAGCGGGTGGCGCGGGCTCCGGGTGGCCGCCAGGATGATGCTCGACTCCTCCGACTCCGCCGCCGCTGCGGGGCAGATGCAGCCGCAGCAGCGTGCGGCGGGGGCCGTCGCCTGCAGCGCGCAGGACGGTGGTGCCGCAGGGTACGCCAGCGGCGGGTGGGCGAGGTAATAATGATAATAATAATAATAATAATGAATAATGCGTGTCTTTACACTTTCATGGTTATTATAGCTCTATGTATCTGTTTCGATCCTAAACCATCTCGTTTTCGCCTCTAGTGTGAAATGAACCGTGTTGGCATTTGAATGTGGTCCTTTGCGCTGGGGAATTGGTTTGGTTTGTTCAGTTGTCCTGTGGTGGTAGCCAATTAGCATGAAGAAACCTGCTAGGCCCCAAATATGAAGGATGCAAATGTAGCAGATATTCTGATTGCTATTAATGGCTTAGTGGATTGGTTCTGCATGATATTATTCGCGCCTGTACAATTTTGTGAAATAGTTAATGCGTGAAAAGCTTATCGTAAAACAGTAATGCTCTAAAAGGTGGTAATTGCGTGCTCAGCACTATTCTTTGCTTATAGATAACAATCTTCCATTTTTGTGGCAATGTGCCGATGCGTATGGATGATTTTTATGTAGATACCGGAAGTAGTATATACATATGCAATGAGTTAGGGGCTGTTTGATTTTAAGCCCTAAGCTGACAAACCAAAGTTTGGCAATGCACATGCTTTTTTGTCCTCCATTTGGCTGGTGACCACAATTTGTGTGCCCTCTCTATTTGGCAAAGGTAGGCAATAATTTGTGTGCTCTCTCTATTTGGCAAAGGTAGGCAATAGACTTACCAAACTTTTGGGGACAAAATTTGAATGGCAATATCTGACCAAATTTTGGTGGCTTAGCCTATCTCCATGCCCATATAAAAAAATATTGGTAAAACCAAAACATGTTTTTTTGCTACTTTTTTCTCTAGGCACACATTTAGTCACGGTTATTAGATTTCAATTGGACTTATAGATGATATATATATATAATTATAGAAGACCTTAGTTTTGTATGATGCACAACAAGGGCGAGGTATGAACCCATGATGGCATAAAAATCCATTGCCTAGTAAGATTTAAGAATGTGCCAGCTTTTGAATTTATGATTATAAAGATTTAAGTACAAGAGAGGAGGCCCTATTGGACATATGAGCTTAGTTCCAAGAAGATCGTTATGAGTGGATTTTTACAGCGGATGAAGAAACATGGTATTTGCCATACTAAAGTTTATAAACCGAAGAGTATCCCAATCACCCAAACAACCAAACAATACTTGTTTGAATATCCACCATAAAAAGTTTGGTTCACTTTCATGCCACAAAAAATGTTGAAGCCATCTCAGATCAGACATATCACTTTGTTCCCTTCCATCCAAACTCCTGACTCACTAATGTTGACTCATGCCTAGGCCATGTTCCATCTAGTCTACTACCTAAACCCAGTCGTTCTGTGCTCCTTTGGTCCTTCCCCAGAATTCTGTTCCTGCATCATCTTCACAGTTAATGTCCTGCAGGTATGATGTTTGTGTACCCACTCAAAATTATAAGGACATAATTACTCCTAAGAGACCAAATATAGGACTACATACATGATTAAATAGCTAATACACGATCTTCCTCATAATATCGCCTGCTGCATTCATCAGCCAAAATGAGCAAAGCTCACTGAAATCCTTAGCTCCTGTCTTTAACATACTCAAACTGGGAAGTTAGTGGCCATGGCAGCATGACTGGAGCGATAGGTTGTGCCTCTTACATATGGTTGCGATGGAGTCACTATCTCAGCATGGAAGAGCACAGTGAGGGTGAAATCATTTGATATGACACTGATTCTCACTTAGCAGGGAGGGCGCAGTGATGTGCTTGTAGATGGACATGGCATTTTGGAGATTGCGGGGTACTAGGAGTAAGAAAGTAGGTAATGCAGTGGCTCAAGAGACAAGCGGAGCTTCAGTGAAGAAAGAGTGTAGGGAGGAGCAGGTCTGGTTGAGCCATTAAATATGATGGGGGCCTGGTGATAAGTTGCCATCAGAGACTTTGGATGGAAGATACCATAGTGGTATCAGAGAGTTGCGAAGCTTTGGTTGTTTTTGGTGAACTAGACTTTTTATGGTATTTATGAAAAACAAAAACATTTCGGGCTCCTTGGAAGTTGAATGCTGAAATTTCACAGGAGTTTCATAGAGGCAGTTTACATCCAACAGGAATCAGGAAAAAAAATTCCATGTTCAAAGGAGACCTTAGGTTATATACTTGATGTTCTCCTTAAAAAGCCATGCAAATAGGGATGGATAATGAGCAAGTTTGGCTCGTTAGACTTGGCTGGTCAGGTTCATTATGATAAGGAGCCAACTTGGATCAGCTCATTAACCTTAACGAGCTAAAAGACTGGCTCGGCTTATTTTGCTAACTTGAGCTGGCTCGTTAGCAAGCTAGAAATGTTCAAACATGTCATGTACAATTTAATATTTACCAATTTATCATATATTAGCAAAATAGTAGCACCAAGTTATCATATATTAGTAAAATATTTATTAAATATAAAAGGATATGAAGTAATTCTGACATTAAGTAATACAAATAGAATGGTCTTTTATACAAACATGCTTAATGAGTAGCTTGCAAACTGGCTGGCTTGGTATTGGCTGATTAAGCTAACGAGCTAAACAGCCAGTTTGGCTTGGCTTGTTTAGAACATGAGTTCAAGCTGAACTGGTCCACGAGCTTTGAGCGTTTTGTTCACCCCTACATGGGAACTCCAAAAAGGGTACATATGCAACATGCCCTTAGGGGCATGCTATTGTACAAGTAGGTCAATTGATTAGTGTTGTCAAGAAAAGTAGGCTCCTATTTACATGATTGCATCACAGCCATATGGTACTAGTGGCGCTCAAATATATGTTTTCTTAACTTTGGATATACATTGAGCACCAAAAGAGGTGTAAGCAAGTTACTTTTGACCAAACTATGCACCTTTTTTAGGAAACTGTCAGTCATACATTTCAAGCAAACCAGTACTTTATGCCATAATTTATGTGATTCCCATACTTTTGTATTGACCTTTTCTTTCTCAATTTTGGTAAAGAATTTGAGCACTTGACCTAGTCCTGCATTAATAAGAAGACTGAATTGTGCGATGGATCCCATTCCTTGGAATATGAAGTAGTTCTATAAGTCTGTGCTTACACAATCATGATGGCCTCTTATTCTAGTTTTTTCCTGCATCCTATTTTGACTGCCTTAAAGGCTTAAACATACCATGTTTGTTCAACATGCAATCATGACCGAATATATCAGAGTTTACAATGTGATCTCTTTTGCTGGAATATGGGACAATTAATTTTATCTCCAATGTTTAAATTTCCATCTCTTTACAAGAATCATTCATTCTCTTTGGACTCATTATTTGACATGCTACCTTGGTTAACGTAATGTCCGAAAAATTTGTGACAGAGAAGATGGTAAACTGAAATGTGGATATTCAAGTTTTAGAGGGAAGAGAGCCACCATGGAGGATTTCTATGATGTAAAGTTAACTGAAATCGATGGACAGGCTGTTAGCCTATTTGGTGTATTTGATGGTATGGTTTCCATCTTTCCTTGTCTACTTTCGTGATTCCGTGCCCACCATGTTTTTCTTTTGAAGATTTGGTGCATTAGGTCATGGAGGACCACGTGCTGCTGAGTATTTGAAGGAAAATTTGTTCGAAAATCTTCTGAAACACCCTGAGTTCCTGACAGATACAAAGCTTGCCATAAGTAATTTTTCTCTTTGATTCTTACCTTTCCAGTTCTCTGTTCACCTTTTTTTTAAAGGTTGCTAATGATTATTATCTTCTCAACTTTTGAAAAAAAAATCAAAACATAACAACAGGTGAAACATATCAGAAAACAGATACAGATTTCTTAGAATCAGAATCCAATGCCTTCAGGGATGATGGTTCAACAGCTTCCACTGCAGTTTTGGTGGGTGGCCATCTATATGTAGCAAATGTTGGTGATTCCCGTGCTGTTGTTTCAAAAGCTGGTAAAGGTATGTAACAACACATGCTTGTTGGATGTAGTTTTTCATCTGAACAACCACTTGGATTCTTATCATTGATATCTGCTTAATGTTTCTAAATTTCCCAGCATTGATGTTTTTGTTGAAGAAGTTTGGTACCTAATGTCTCATATAAACCCCCCTTGGCCCTTCTGCTAACGATTATTTCCTGTACCATAATTTAAGGCTAGTGACAAGGGTTGCTTATTTTCTAGACATTCTGGATCTGATATCTAGGTGGGATCTGAATTGGTAACTTAATTACTGAACTCTTGAAAGAACTAAGTTTACCTGCATGGTGCTGTTTCTAATTTGCTTGGGCATGTTTGGTTTCCCTTCCCAACCTGGCTAGCCTTGGTTCACTCTACAAAAGTGCACATGGGAGTCCGGTTTCAATACTTTCTAGTTTTTTTATTCAGTTTATATTTGTCTTCCCCACCCATCCATTAACACCTAAAGTGCCCATGGGACTCCTGTTTCAATATTTTCTAGTTTTTTTTATTCAGTTTATATTTGTCTTCCATACCCATCCATTAACACCTAAAGATTTTCACTTATTCGTTTTTTCTAGCTATGGCACTGTCAGAAGATCACAAACCTAACAGGAGTGATGAGCGGAAGAGAATTGAAAATGCAGGAGGAGTTGTCATTTGGGCTGGTAAGCTAAATCTTCATTCTTGGATGCACTGGGCATAGTTTGCCTTTGTAAGCTCACATGGACAAGGCAGGTTGCACAAGGCTTGTCCATTTGGTGCCTTCTGATCTCCTTGTAGTTTATGTTAGGTTCTCTATGTCATACCTGGGTTGTTTAGCATTGCAGCCTTATTTACCTAAAATCATGCCATCTCTGTATATATTTTTCTGTTTGTTTTTTAAAAGTGAGTTTATTCCCAGGTACTTGGAGGGTAGGAGGTGTACTGGCAATGTCGCGTGCATTTGGCAATCGTCTACTGAAGCCATTTGTGGTGGCAGAGCCTGAAATTCAGGTATCTTATTGCACTTAATCATGCTATGATTTGTAGGCCTCATTTTATGTAGTTTAACCTACTCTAGTTAAAGGCTTAGCCTAGTCTAGATGAAAGTCAGAATAGGAGGTATTTGCAGTTCAACTTGTCTCTTTGTATGACTCCTCTGCTGTATAATTCTGATCATGACCATATAGCTTGTGTGTGAAGCTTGATTAATGTCTTAAGAAATTACAGGAAGAACTTGTCAATGAAGACTTGGAATGCCTCGTTCTTGCTAGCGATGGACTTTGGGATGTCGTGGAAAATGAGGTAATAAACCACCAAGCACATTATCTCAACCTGAAAACGATTCGAATTTCTCAATGAAACCACTGCTGCTTATGTAGCATTGAACAAAGCATCACTTTATTGTCTTCTCTGTCTGATCTGGGTATACATTTTTAATGATTGCTAAATTCTCTGATAATTCTGTTTACCAAAATAGGAAGCTGTTTCCCTTGCGAAAACAGAAGACCTGCCTGAGTCGGTGGCTAGGAAACTCACGGAAATAGCCTATTCTCGAGGCAGCGCTGACAACATTACATGCATCGTGGTGCAATTTCACCATGATAAAACTGAATAATAAGATGGGACTAGAGCTGATGAAAGGTTGAAGGTTTTTCTACTTCAAGCTACTTTCCAGCAGTCCAACCACAGAGGGGGTTCCCCAGGAGATGTTGCTCCTGTAGCATTTGCTAAGGATTGTTTCGTTGATTCTTTTCCTTGTGTAGGAATCATTTTTTGTTTTCAGAGGTGTTACGAACAGAAAATTTTATTTCGAGTGTAACACACAGTTTTAATTGGATGGATACTAATAAATCAATTGCTTGTTTACCTAATTACCTGCCATTACGGGCATGGCATATAATTCTCGATGATATATAGTTCTTTTTTGGCAATAGTAGGGTACATAGGTCTGTTTAATGTTTTGCATGGTCCGAATTTCAACAAGCTTAATGTTGATTCTGGGCCGAACTTGTGTGGATCATTTGGTCCATTTAACGTTAGTGACGGGCCAAATTTAACTATGCTCATATGCATAATAACTTATCAATAGCCGAAGCAAAGCGATACAACAATTGCGGTTTAGCGTACACCCCAATGATAAAATGGTGAGATTAGGCCCGCAAACAACATTATTTGGCCTAAGCTTGTTGTAACTAAATTTAGCCCACCCTCACATTAACCGGGTAGAATTAAGCACTGTTAACACAGGCCGGATTTACTCATTAAACAATCTGAAGCTGGTTAAAACAGGCCCTAAAACTGCTAAATCAGACGGACAAATGACGATTACCGTCCTAGTTAAACATGCCGAATTTAGCTAACTTCGGCTTAATCGTAAGTTTACTGGGCCGCTTAATCGTAAGTTTACTGGGCCGGAGACACCAGTCACCTTAGAGCACTGATCACACGCATGAACACAATGATTTCAGAGAAAAAAAACCTTTCAGTACAGGCAAGATTTCAGAGAAGCTTGTGTATCAGATACAAACTGTCATACTCTGGACCATATCTTCTCCGGTCGAGAGGATAGCTATGTAGGAGTAACTCCAAAATCAAGATGCAATAGTCTACAGAAAGAACAGTCCAACGAAGGATTACAATCTTTTTCTTTAACAATTGGCATTTTCTAGTGCTCTGAGCTGTATCTTTTATGCGTTATTGCATTTCCTGTTGGCCATGAACAAAAGCAACAACACTCAAAAGTACAAAAAAAAAAAAAAGAGTTCAGTGATAACACACAGGAGAACAAGGCCAGACATAACAAGACAGGAAAACAATGTTACTTCTCAATGAAAATAACCAAGCACTTGCCCGCCCACATTCTGCTTAATTGCTTCCTCATGATCCAGTACACCATTTGGAGTTGTGATCACGACATAGCCCCACTGCATGACAAACAGCGCACTGAGTCAGCAATAATACACTATGTAAAATAAGGGGTGTAGAAGTGATAATGAATTGAGTTACGACGATAACTCAATCACAAAAACGCTAGGTAACACCAATTAGTTGCTTAATATTAATGAAAGTGGGCAAAAAAAACCATGTTTTTGCGAGAAATCAAATTTGCCAATGTGGCCTATCACCCTGAAGGGATAGCCAATGGTCCATGGATCTTATCATTTGCTTTGTTTTCTGAAAGGGACTTTGCATCAGTGACACTTAACAAACATGCTAGTTATAATTCTTCTCATCATCCATATTCTATCAATTCAGCTCCTTAAAAATATTTTTCAAAATGGATTTTACACTGCCATGTTGAAAGAGTTTGCTGTGTCAGAAAATAATTGCAACAAAGAAGATACAGTACGATCGTGTTAACTACAAACATCAATTATGAAGTTTTCTAAGGAATTAAATGTTCATGATACTAAGATATTGTAGGCTACTGTCTGATCTAGTTAAATATTTTGTTGCTCCTATACATGATTTACTTTACATGATTGACATTACATACATTCCGTTACTTTCAACAAGAGAGTACATAAAATATCTAGCATTTAAAACCAAGAACTTATAGGAACTTCAGCTTCTTAATTCTCCAAGACACTATTTGCAGTGTAAAAAAGGATAAGAAGAATAGTCCAACAACTAACTAAATATTTCAATGGTCACAAATTAGTAGATGGAATACCTGCCGTGTTGGAAGCATCCGAACTCTGTATTGTTCTATTTCCTTGGCTCTAATATCCTGCCTATAAGTAAGAGCCTTACAATCTTTAATCCTTCCATGAAGCTCTACATTGATTTTTCCAACTCTATGGGGATCGATGACCTCAAACTTTTTAATGTACCCTGTAAAATATTAAAAGCCCAAATGTCAGAAAAAAACTAGACAGGCAACATATGTGGGCTAAACAAATGGAGGGCACCGAGCAATATCAGAATATTTCCTTTTGTTTTTCGCATGAAGAAGCCAAAATACAAGGAGAAAACAGGCGAGTCAGTATGCCAAGTATCATTTTGTTTTCCTTGGGTCTGTTATCGGTTTATTGCGGTGCATAATTTCAAGTGACCGGTGCAATGCAAACACTCTTGTGTTAGATGAAATGGGTATAAGAAGCTCAAGCACAGAACGATCTAGGGAATAGCAAACAAATGCCCGACCTGACCTGACCGATTGAAGAGATAAAAGGATAGTAGGATATAGCAAAGCCTAAACATCAAGCTACCAATAAAACAAAAATCTAGCATCTTAAGAATATGCACACTCGCCTTCATTTTCCGATAGCAATCCACAGTTTCCCACAATAAGAAATGACAATGCTAACTCTAACTCATCACATTTCGTCCATCCAGATGACGCAAATATAAGACACAAAAACAAGTCAATTATCTAATCTAGCCGTCTAGGTACCGAAAGATCCCAAAAATCGTTCTTAGCATGACCATCTCACTTCGTGTTCGTTTCTGTAGTTTCCTCCGTAAAACCCAAAACCCCCAAAAGTAAAGCATCATCCCTCACAACTAATCCAAACATTTGCTATGCTCGGTGGGTGGGATTACTTGAGTAAAGACTAGTAAATCGCACATTGAACCCAACAGACTCCTCCCCCGCCCCCACATGAATGAAACCCTCGTGTTCGACAGTAGTAGAACAGCTCAAGCAGCAGCAGCAGCAAGCAGTGCAGACTACGCGGGCGGAAGCAGTAGGGGCGCTCCGAAATGAAGAGGAAGCCCACCTCGGTGCTTCATGATGTTGAGGAAGGAGACCATGACGCCGGAGATGGGCTGCAGCAGCGCCGTCGCCTTCCCCCTCCGCTCCGCGTTCACCATCGTCCGCAGCGCGTCGTTCAGGATCCGCCGCCCCATCCTCTCTCTCCTCGCCTCGCCGCCGCCGCCGCCGCCGCCGCCGGAGCAGATGGAGTTCTGCACCCGCAGCAAGGGCAACGCACGCACGCACACGGCCGCACGAGTCGCGGGCTGGAAAGGAGGTGTTATTCGGCCTAATGGGCCTTGGGCCTTTGGGGTTACAGATGAGCCTTCTAGGGTTGCTGGTGGGCTTTGTGTTTTCTTTGTTTGGACCTTCGGTTATCTTGTACTTCCTCCGTCGTAGAAAAAGATTAATTTCCGATTATAATGAAAAACATGGTATATATCCGAAATTCGTAGTTTGTATTTTCCTTTTTCGAAAGCGTTGCATGTAGTGAGTGATTTTTGATTTTTGATATTCACAGGTGGAACTCATAATGCGTCTCGTTCTTAGAAACAATCTCGGTCTAAGATGGAAAAATTGCCACTCTCAAACTCGTTTGAGGTTAGTCAATCTCGAGGTCACATGTAGGGATAAAGTGGACAATCCCATAAACCGTATAAAAATTCGTTTACTAGTTTATTTTTTTATATGGTAGTATAAATTTTAGAGAAAAAGAATTAAATAAAAAATGGGATAAGCGGGATAAAAAATCTTGCTTGCCCGTGCCGCTTGCATCCCTAATCACATGTGTTGACAGAAGCACGATTGCTTAGGGTAGCTCCACGGATTGCACTTGATAGAGTTAACTGAGTATCATTCTCGGTTCAAGCCATCAATCAATAGTGATAACTACGCTCCAAGCTGATCAGTTCATTTAAAAATGAAGATCACTTTCAATGCTTGAACTCTACCTCTTAACTGCCTGAAAAGTCCCCATTTTTTCTCTCATCCCCCTAGATCTCCTCCTCCCATTCATTTTGTAGTTTCTCTAAATTTTCTCCACTAAAAAAAGGAAGCATGCATATTATGGGTTCTCCCAAGATACAATACTATGGCAATCGCTATTGGTTGATGGCTTGAACCATGGTAAGAGAATGTAAATGTTTTGGTAATGCAAACGTAAATGTTTTCCCATCACTCTGTGAATGGAAACAGAACAAGCGTTACCGTGCTTTGTTTGGATTCGAGCAGAAGATCACTTACCGTAATGTTTTCCGAAAACACTTGATATCGGACGGTAACGAGTTTGTATTGGGTCCATATCGCTTCCCATGGTACCCGATCCCGTCGTATGCAAAGCAAGGCCCGGTCCTGCCAATTTAGTGGCCCGGAGCGAAGCTAGAAAGATGAGCCCTTTAATACAACTCTGATAATATAATGATGTTTCTAATAAATGCAAACAAGTTATATATCTTTCTCCTGTGCTTTCTAAATCTAAGTTCATATGGTCTATGGACTTCTATATCTATAGCATACATATATGTTGTGAGGCTCCTTAACTTCGAGGGCCTAGTGCGATGGCATAGCTCGACCCCCCTAGGGCTGGGCCTTAAGCAAACACATAATAACTTGATCAGATTGCAGTGCGAATAGATTGTGGAAGAAAACTCTCCAACCAAACAGCACCTGAGTAAAACCTTTTGCGCGAAGTAAGGTCGAACACATAAGGCATTGCTACGATTGCGTAACCTAGCTTATTCCATAAAGGTGCTTGCCTTTTAGCGAAAACAACTAGTACATACACATGACATAGCAAAATCATGCTCTCTCACCAATGTTAACAATTATTTTTGGAGGGAAGATCATCACCAATGTTAATATCAACATATCTTAACACTGAAAGGGACCTAACACACACAGTACACCGGCCTGGTTGAAAGTTCGAAGGATGCTGTTCCAGCTACCAACTACTATACCTCGCATTGGGTGACATGAATATACATCTCTACAAGGCACAAGGTGATTACTAGCTCACAAGGTGATCATCATCATTCTGTCCCATCATGCCTGTTTTCTCTCTAGCCATCTTGTGGAATGCTCTTTATTTCACTGTCAGGCCGTCCTTTTCCCCCACAAAAAGAAAATAATGCTGGTGGCTCCACCTTTTGTCATCACTGATCAGCTCTGGTTTCTGTTTTATTTTGAGCTTTTGATAATTGAGTAGGTGCACCCTATGATGGCTGGTTTCTGGGACATGCCAAATTTTGCATGCCTCATCATTATTCACCTCTTTTGGTCATTAAATTAGTCCTCCTCTGTGGTAAAAGAAAAACTACTCCCATATGTCTGTCTTATGTGCATTATTATCAGGAAGAGAATATGGAAAGGTTGTTCTTGATAAGTACTCTCCTCATTCCTAAATATAAGAACCTAATACTCGATGGGATTGTCTATATTTGCAGTATTATGATATGTCCCATCTAATATTATGTTTTTTATATCTTGGGACGAAGAAAATACTAGGTAAGGAGAAACTTTTGACTCTAACCATATATGTGTGACCTGCGACCACACAATATTGTTACCATCAGGAAAAAATTAGTATCATGTATATATGGAGAACATTAATTTATATGAATACATCTTCCCTATGTCTACTCTTTGCTAGGAATGACCATTTCAACTTATCTATTGCCAAAGTGCAATCATCCTTAAGTCCAAGCAACCCATCGAATATCAGAAAACCCAACAACAAAGAAACATATTGATTAAGTATTAACATTGCTAATGGGACTCAAAACTGTGGCAATAAACTGCACATATCTATATAGCCATTGGCGGACGCGGCTTTAAAATATAGATGGGGCGGAGAACGGAGATTTTCACTCGATAAGAGCAATCGAACACAACACATATCATATTAACAGTCCATTCACATAACTGCCTCAATCTATTAGGTGTTCACATCTTGTTATACCTAATTTTGATGGCCCATGACTATTATAAGGAGGTAAAGGGGTCTTGAGGGTGTGGGGCGACACGAGTCATAGCTGAGTCGGTCCACCACTCTGCCTAATGGGTGGATCCGCCCCTGTATATAGCCCCCTTTATCTGACGCAGTTAAGCTGTTAAAACTGCCTATGCACACGAAAATTAAAGTAGTGTGCTAAAAATTTGCATATCCACTTCCACTAAGGCAGAAGTAATAAACAATGACTCTCCCTAATTAATTTATCAAGCTAGCACTCTACATTAATTATAGCCAGTTGCAATTGGCCACATACTTTGTTTAAAACTGCATCCTCTTTGGAAGCAATTCCTTTTGTTGTTCTTGACACACTAGCTAACAATCTTCACTTGGCATACCAAAATGATAATGCTTGATTTGAATAATTAAGCTAAGCCAGATTAAGACTGCGACACTGAAGTGCAAAGCAATGGCAAACCGGTCATTACACGGTTTTTGCCGACAATAGTTATTACCGATTGTAGTTAATTAATTGGTCATGTGAATAAATAATTCTTCGACACAGTGATACATAGGAATCCAAAGATTGAAATCAAAAAGAAGAAGAAGAAGAAGCAGGTGATCATTCCATAAACTGGTGTTATCTGTTGGCGATTAATTAAGCATAATCAGGGGCCTGATGGATGATTACTGGTTGTGCTTTTACCTTATTTTTTTTAAGTTTGTCTTCTCAGCAAGAGCCTTTTCGGCCACCACACGCAACAAAGCATTCACAGGTAGCTAGGCCTCGCCGGTCGGCAACGCAAAGAGTCACAAATTAAATTCCCTTTTAGCTCAGACAGAGTAATACAGTAATTTCAAAAGAGCTGAATAGTATTACTCTGATTTCTTTTTTTTTTAAAAAAATAAAGACAGTAGAAGATCTAGTTTTTACATACCTCTAGCGACCTCTGCATCTGAGATGCACAAATTCATAGTTATACTAAAATTGATCAGACTATAACAAGTATGCCCTAGGAAATTGAAATTAATGTTGCTTTTTAAAGGTGTACAATACTCTTAACATAACGATTTTATGGGCTTCATATATTGGAATACACAATTGGAAATAAAAATGCACGAATAGAATATCATGGTTGTGGAATAATATAGGGAATGAATTCATATTAATTTCTAAAAAATAGAGTTTAGTAATATCAAAGATAAATCATATGAACTTCAAGATAATGAAGGAGATAAAACATGAGGTAAGACCTCATGCTACCTTTCAATAAAAATATCTTATGGAATAGTTCCATCCTTGGAATTGAAAAGAGAACTCAAATGAAATCTGAAGGATTTCCATAAGAATTACTTTAGTTCCTGGAGAACCAAAACAATTTCTCAAGTTTCAAAGAAGACATAATCTTTTTTTTCTATTTTTCTTGGTTCCAAAGAAGGCATATAGGTATTCCTCTTACAAATTGCTATGTCAATCATTGATTTCCTTAAGGGCTTATTCGGTTTAGAGAGGATTGGAGGGGATTGAGGGTGAATAATTCCACACCACAATAGGTGTGGAATAAATCCCCTCCAATCCCTCTATCACAGGGATTAACCGAATAAGACCTAAACTGGGCCCGCACCCAAATGACATGTAGAAAATGTCTTCTCGTGGCAATGGCTAGATGAAGCTTACCACATGCCACTACTCATCCACAACACCGAAATTTTTGTGCGGTTCTATGTAGATGTGAGTTCAAAGAGTGCACTTGACTTCAGTGCTGCGTATGAATGTGCTTGTTCATTAGGAAAAATAAAATATGCTAGAAAATCATACAAAGTATCATGTGGCTAGTTTCTACCTCATTATCGCAATTGTTATACACTTCTGTCTTTTTCATCTTTTCCTTTTGAACCCTCCATGCATTGGCCCATTTCTTTGTACTCTCTGTCTTTTTGTACTCAACACATACTTCGGTCCCCAGCTCATTGCTACCAGTGGCAATGTAGCATGACAAATCTTGGGGTCTCAGGTTCATAACACAATGGAGGAATTTTCAACCTTTTCTGCTACCCCCCCTTCACATAAAAAGAAACAAAAACAAAAGGAACAGTTACTTTTTCCCCTTCTCATCCAAGTATATATGTACCAATCAACTTTTGCAATATTGAAAACATCAATTATTTCGGTATATTGAACCTAATTATGTCTAAAAATACACGAGGGCACTTATTTAGGAAGAGACCTTACTACTTATTTCATAATTTTCCTTTTTCACAAGAGTGCTGGAATATCATTTGTCTCACAAGAAGAAATATTTCAGTCCAAGAAGCTATAGAGGATTTGCAAAGAAAGTAACATGCATAACCCTTTTTTATATGGAGATCATCATTTTAATGGCATGGAGCATTTAGACCTCAAGGAACAACAAGATATTCAGAAACACAACCCCTTCGACTCAAGTTTGCAAAGATATATAAGTTCAGAATAGAGTTTGCCTTGGTCACCCATATATATTTTTTAGAGAAGGTTTTTTTTTTACCCAGCCTCTATATCCAATCGAATATATGCAGCATTTTTTTTAAAAACCGGAACTTAGCTATTCCCCTTCCTTCCCATTCCAAATCTCATGTATAAAAGACGCTCCTTGACCAATCTTTACCTACTTAAAACATTGGTAGAGTTTTTGTCTTCCATCAATCGAATAATCATGATCCTTCATCCAATAGATCTAACAGCAAGATCCCTACTCCTCGACTCCTGCCCCTCGCTTTCCGTCTCCGCCCCCCGCTTCTTCAGTTAGTTGATGAGCATAAAAGAAGCCATATCGGACATGGAGAGAGAAAGAGGAGAACTGATTTGTTGATGATCGGACTCCAATCACCCTAAACAAAATCAGTATTACCAAAGGAAAAGGAAGAGATTGATCGATTAATTTCATAGGTTGAGTTGATTTGAACGCGATGGGCCGAGGTCCTGCAACGTGCGGTGGCAAGAGAGCTCTTGGTTGGTGCCGACTGCTTTGTGAGGAGGCAATTGAGGGGAGGTCCGGCAGCGGATTCCTATATTGTCGATGGATCTTATCGATGTTTTGCATCTTTACAATGATAAGCTATCTAATGTGATTATTATTATTATTGTTGTAAAAACCTGAGATAATATGTGGTTTAATATATTTGTCTTCACCCATTGCAACGCGCAGGTATTCTTGCTAGTCGAGTGTACGGAAGAAGAGAACAAAAATATTAAACCAAGTTCACCATATCGTATCCTGTTGCAACGCACCCAGCAGCTAGTTTCTTGGAAAAAGGTAAGTGGGTCCGGTGCAATTGTGCAAATCCCCCTCCCTCTGTCCCTCACCGGTGTGTGGCCTCGCTTCCCATTGGCTCCGGCGCCCTCGATTCGTACGGTGAACGGCAAGGCACACCGCGGCTTAAACACAGCGTTTGCTCGGTTGCACCGGAAACCTCACCTCACTCTCCTCAGCTAGCTGCTTAATTACTTGCAGCTAGCTCAGCTGCCCGGAATGGTGGAGATGGACGCCGGCGGCCGGCCGGAGCCAAGTCCACCGTCGGGCCAGTGCTCCTCCGCCGTCACCATGCGCATCAACGCGCCCGTCCACCTCGTAAGTGCTCAGGCTCACCCATCTGATCTCTCCAGTAGCGCCAAACCTGTCAATCTTTCGATCGGCCGGTTAATTAATTTCTCTTCTCTGAAATTTGGTTCTTGCATTGATTTTTGAGACTTCTTGATCTTGGATGTGTGTTTCTTGGGTCTCTCTTTGTTTTCACTGATAATGATGTTGTATATGCTAGCTCTTGCTGGCAGTTTACCAGCACACGCTGAAACTTCACTGAAAACGAAGATTTTCCACGAAAAAAAATGAAATAAGTACACAAGTGGAAGAGAAAAGTTTGCAGAAGTTCAGAAGAACTGAACCTAAAAAAATAAGTGTTTTTTCCCCTCGAGAGTTAGCTGAATTTTACAAATTTAAATGAAGCCTCTGTTTTAGATATACTCTTCTAGTAGCTAATGAACAACAACAATGGAAAATGGATCAAGTGTATGCGTATCTGCAGGTAATTAAGGTCTTCCAGCTGCTATATATACATTACGTTGTAGGTTGTTAGATGCATCTTGAAGAAAAAACAAGATTCAAACAAATATGTGAAACAGGCTCGTCCTTTGTTTGTTCAAAAGTTTGATGAGCCTCTGCATTCAATGACAAATTGATAATAGCAAGAAGAATATATGTTTTGTATGCTAACAGACCTAGAGGGATGTCTGTTACCATCCTGTTGCTCTTTCTTCGCAAAATCCATATTATTATAAAGGGAAAGTTTTAAGTGTTTTAATGAGTATCATTATAGACAAAGCACATTGAAAAGAACATCAGCTAGAAGTAATTGGTAAGACAAGAATCTTACTTTTTCCTTTTTTGGCATGCACTTATGTTTCATTAATTGTAGGGACAAGCTAGTCCCTCTGTTTCATCCATATTTCTTGAATTTACTTATATATATTATAGAGAAAATCCCCTGTGTATCCCTGAAAGTTCACCTAATCCCTTCTGTACCTTTGAATTTTGCTCAATCCCTTAAATATCCCTGAATTTTAGTTTGGATCCTTTCCATGCCCTTTCCGCTAGTTGACTGTTAAATTCTTATGAAAAAGTCCATTTTACCCTTTGGTATAAAGAAGCATATAAATTAATAGAGTATATTGTTGAAGCATAGAAATTTGTTATATGAGACTATTATGTTTATGAGATAGTTATGCACCATATTATTTGCGATAAATATACTTTTAGATGTGATATAAAAAATTAATACTTATTTATTAGTTATTAATAGATTTTTTTAGCATATGTGTTCTGATAGTAATAAATAAATCTGTTGTATTACTATGAAAACACATATGCTACATAAAAGAACTTTTAATAACTAATAAATAAGTATTAACTTTTTATATCATATGTAAAAGTAAATTTGTCACAAATAATATGGTGCATCACATACTCATAAATATAATAGTCTCATCCAATAAATTTTTACATTCTAACAATATACTTCATTAATTTATTATGTTTCTTCATAGCAAAGGGCAAAATGGACTTTTTCAAAAGAATTTAACGGTCAACTAACAGTCAACTAGCGGAAAGGGCATGGAAGGGATCCAAACTAAAATTCAAGGGTATGTAAGAGATTGAGCAAAATTCAGGGATATAGAAGGGATTAGGTGAACTTTCATGGGTACATAGGGGATTTTCTCTATATTATATAATGCAATCAGTCTTACTTTTTTTTATCCTGTTGTTTTATTAAAACGAGATACAATTAGATATCGGTATTTTTTTTAATAAAACAAGTATAACTTCCAAACTCGTGTACCAACTAGAGCTTTAAAAATCATATTAATCCATATCAACATTTGAATTTTAGTGGGTTGAGTTATGCATCCACAACTTCTGTAGGAATGACTGTAAATTGTAGATGATTTTGATCACTTATTCTCTAGTCCGGTGGCCTTAGTCTGATGTGGTTCTTGTAGATAGACTTAAATCATAGAACTAAATCAAAATGTTAGGGATGAAACACTTTTTTGGTGTAGTGCAGTTGTAGGTGTATGATTCTGCCCACTACAGTTTTACTCTCCGTGCTCATATTTACACACACAAGATCTTGCGCTTAATAAGTATGTAGGAATCTTGTTTATTTCACTGTTTTATGTTTGATTTTTATCTTTCAGTTTGTTTTAGAGGGGTGCATTTATGTGCATGTACAGTGGTGTAGATGTGCGTCTTCAGTGTAATAAAGAAAATAATCTTACATCATATACCCATTGTAAGGAAAGGGCCTTACTCTTGTAAACTGCCAGATGTCCATTTTTCATCAACAACATACTGAAAAACTATCTAATTTCACCTCACAATTATCAAAATATGTAATCAGTTGTAAATAAGATTATATTGTACCAGACATCAAAATAAGAAGTGGAAGGATGAGAAAAAGATATTACTGAGCTTTGTCAAATTGTAACTAAAGATGGTCTTCTTCCCCAAAAGTGAAATTTTCTCTTATCAGTTAAATGAATTTGATTCACTAAAAAAATTACTGAATTTAAATGTACCAGTTTGATACCAACATTTTTTTTAACTCTGCTTCCAAGATTCCTCTGTTGGCAGTTTACGCCATGGTTTCATATCTCCTCTTCCTAACCGGCCAAATAAATCAGATTGCATCTCTAGTCAATGCCTTCCAGCTGCTATGCATACTGTGAAAGTTTTCTGAATCCATCTGAAGCCAAACATGTTTGTAATGTTATGCAGTTGTTTCAGCTGCTAGCCTGCTACCATCCTAATTTGTCTATTTGAACGGCAGAATTATTCAACAAATGTGTCAAGCAGGCATATCGATCCCGATGTTCCACTTTTCTGAACATTAGCTAAAGCAGAAAGGACAGTCTGTGTTTTCGTTTATTTCCACTTCATTGAATACCTTATAATGGATAACCTGGCTGCTGCGTCAAAGACGCACAAAGCATAGCATGACACATATCATTACAATAATTCCACACCAAGAAGAATAATATGCATGACCCCACTAACTTGTTTCTGATGATAGTTTAGGTGTTTCATTTTTGGCAAATTCTAATAGCCCACCAAGAAGAATAACTTGCATGAGCCCACCAAGTTGTTTCTATCTTCATAACCAGATGCATGAGAATCTTACTTTTATTTCTTTCTTTTTGGAAATGTTTTTATCTTTCATTCATTAATTAAGCTTTGAACATACCAGCTGGTGGGTCTACCAATATTTTGCAGTAGAAATTAGTAGTCAAAGTTACATCTCAAATCAATACCGTGTGGATGTTCAAAACAACATCTTTAACCACAAGAGTACCTATCTGACTGAAAAAAAATACTACATCTGTCCCATTATAAGTGCAGTTGTGGGTTTACGTGTCCAATTTTGATTGTCTGTCTTATTTAAAAATTTATGAAAAATAAAAAAAATATTAGTCATATATAAAATACTATTCATGTTTTATCATCTAATAACAATAAAAATACTAATCATAAAAAAATTTCAAATAAGACAGACGGTCAAATGTTGAATATAAACAGTGTAAAACCATAATTTTTCTAGGATGGAGGTAGTAAGTTATCGTCTGCACTAGAGCACTAGGAGGGAGTTTTTAAGAGGGATTGAAAGTTTAGAGGAATGAGACTATTAAGTGTTTTGTTTGGTTGGGAGACATAGAAATTTTGGTGGGATAAGGATGGGGAATTGAGAAGGAACTCTCTCCTTTTCAATACCTGTGTAGGGGCATCCGGGCATGTAATTGGGAGGGAATTCCTCCTTTACTTTGTCTAAGCAAATCTCAGCCATCCGTTTTTATTGATGACCTAATCACCAACTAAACTCCCTGTCAATTTCTATCACCTCCACCAAACAAGATATTGAAATTAAAAATAAAATGTCCATCTTAATCTCATCATCAATTCCCTCGTTGAAACTTCCAATTCCCTTCACTCGAGTTACCAAACAAGCCGTAGAATTTCCTGGCGGATTGAAGTTTTTTTTTTTTGGCTTCCGGTCACTTGCAGGTTTGGTCCATAGTGAGAAGATTTGAAGAGCCACACATCTTCCAGCCCTTCGTGCGCGGCTGCACGATGCGAGGGAGTACTAGTCTCGCCGTTGGTTGTGTGCGAGAGGTTGATTTCAAGTCGGGCTTCCCTGCCAAGAGCAGTGTAGAAAGGCTTGAGATCCTTGACGACAAGGAGCACGTCTTCGGTGTCAGGATCATTGGAGGTGACCATAGGCTCAAGGTATGCTCGTTCATATCTCAGAGGCCTGTTTGATTTGTCACTAAACGAATTCTACAACCAAGATTTGACGTTATTGACTTTTGGTAAGTTTGCTAAATATTTCGTATTACCAAAATTTATGTTTTTACTTTTTTTTTCTTTCCCCCCTGATGTAAGACTCTCCTTTTTCCTTCTAATATAACCAGCAATTCTCTTACCATCTACTATAAATTTTTTTTTGTTGAAGTAACGTTCGGTTTAAAGCCTCATTAAATTTTGGTGTGGTTTTAAATTCCACCTACTTTCTAAGGATCTGTTTGGTTGAGCTCGTAGAAGCTACAGCTTCTCCAAGAATCAAAAGTTCTTCTAAATACTTTAGATTTTTATCTAGATTTTAAAAAGTAGTTATAGAATCAAGAAAATAAACTAGAAGCCAGAAGCTGGTTTTCCGACTTCTCCTTATTCTCACTAGTTGCTTATCTGAATCCAAAGCTCTCTATACAGGGCCTTAACATCTGTGTATATTTTAGGCTAGAGGCAGTACATATTTTGTCTGGTGTATATCAAAATTTGGTAGGTTGAATTTATCAACAAACCAAGCTGTCTCCATATTTTTTGATGACATAGAAAATTAATCAGTTTGATCATGGATGGCCAACCTAAAGCAAAAAAAAAAAGGAGTAGCTAGGTAGTATTCCCTCCGTTCCATATGATAAGTGGTTTGACCTTTTTTTCTAGTCAAACTTTGTTAAGATTGATCAAGTTTATGGAAAAATTTAGCAATATATAAAATATTAGATTAATTTCATTAGATCTAACATTGAATATATTTTTTTAATAGTTTGTTTTGCGTTGAAAACACTACTATATTTTTTGAAAACTTATTCAAATTTGAAGAGGTTTGACTAAAAAAAAGTAAATAACTTATAATATGAAATGGATGGAGTAATATTTGTTACAGAAATGGTTCAAACTAACAAATAGAATCCGACAGACACATTTGCGGAGTAGAATTTGTGTTCTAAAAATGGGCGAACATGTTCACTAATATTCATGGTAAACATGTTCATCCCTTTAGTCCTACATAATAAGACATACTCCATCCATTAAAAAAAATTAATTCTATATGTGTCCAGATTTATCTTTAAATGAATTTTTTTTGGACGGAGGGAGTACTTTTTTTCCTCACATTGAAAAATATTACACATACAAAAAATCTTGCACCCCACAAGCTCACCCAATTAAGCGTATAATTTCCACTTTCAAGTTTCAATATGACTCACACCATAGTGAAAAATATTACACAATGTTGCAGTACAGTAATTCTTCTCGGTTTATTTTTTTTTTGTGACAAGAGTCAAAGTAATGTGGAAATCCTCGAAAAAAAAATAGTAACGTGGAAATCTCCTAGAAAAGCCTGATCAGTATATGAAAAGATAGAACGAATGCTTTCCCATCCTGGTGTTGTCGTGCTTGTGTAGGTTAGGCCAACTACTGTCTACTGGCTGGCTGACCACAAACATAAATTAATTAATTAACTGATGATCCCATGCTTAATTAATTTTTTAATAGTTAAAAAGGTTTGTATCTCCAATCTCTGCTTTTGAGACTATTTATATTCTGCAGAATTACTCGTCAGTGTTGACGGCCAAGCCCGAGGTCATCGACGGCGAGCCGGCGACGCTGGTGTCGGAGTCCTTCGTCGTCGACGTCCCCGAAGGGAACACCGCCGACGAGACGCGCCACTTCGTCGAGTTCCTCATCCGGTGCAACCTCAGGTCACTCGCGATGGTTTCTCAACGTCTCCTGCTTGCCCAGGGGGATCTCGCCGAGCCTCCTGCACAATGACTGGATTTTAGACCAGACATTAATTGGAGGGTTTTTTTTTTTTGCATTGTTGGCTTGTTGCCATTTGCATAGCAGCAGCAAAATTGGGGTAATCCCAGAAGTATACATATTCTTTTACGTGATGCTAGGTGAGGAAGGTTACTACTGTAATATCGTCGTCGAGATATATGTTAGAGTGCGTGACCCAATCCACCAATCATGGGTCATTAAGGTCACATTAGACTGGCAACATCACATGTTCAACCAGAACCATAACTTTACTTTATAGGTATACACAACTCGAAAAACTAGACTTGTAGATATGGATCAGGCTACTCCTATTTAAATTACCAAAATGAAACTAAACTTAACAATCTCCTCTTTCACACATTAGGTCCAACAATCTACTCATTTACATCAACTCATATGATCACAAAGACTTGTCTGTGAGCTATGCTTAACAATCTCTCTCGTCATATCAGAGCCCATACGACCCTAATTAAAGACTTGTTAATATCATTCCCTATCATATCAACCCATATGACATCGAAAATTTATTTACGCGCCATGCCTACCATCAATCTATCATATTGTATTAGAGCTCATACAACCCCAGAGACTTGTTCTGAGCTCCCCCATAACCTCGTGACCCTAGGAAATTGATCCACGTTTCTAAACTCCAGTTCTGATACCACTTGTTTTATTGCAAAGCTCGTTCCACTAAATGTGGTCCTTCCAAATCACATTGGGTCTAATACACCAATAAATCTAACCACATGCACAACTTTAGATCATATATTTACACAACCCAAAAGGTTATTATGAGGTGTGAGAATTTATAATTTCCACCTTTTAAGTTATGCTTTCTCATCATCAAATACTTATATAAGAATAAATCTAACAAAATATAGTTATAATCCTTTATATTTTACCAAACTTGGGTATAGAATGATATATGAAACATGTTTAGATTGCTACCTTGACATGCCAAAATTTAGCATAAGGTGTGTTTAGTTTTTTTGTGTAAAGTTTTTGAAGTATACAGACACACATTTGATGTATTAAACGTAGACTAATAACAAAACAAATTACATATTTCGCCTGTAAACTGCGAGACAAATTTATTAAGCCTAATTAATCCATCATTAGCAAATGTTTACTGTAGCATCACATTGTCAAATTATGACGTAATTAGGCTTAAAAGATTCGTCTCGCAATTTACATGCAAACTGTGCAATTGGTTTTTTCCCCCACATTTAATACCCCATGTATGTGTCCAAATATTTGATGTGACGTTTTTGACCAATTTTTTTTTAGGATCTAAACAATGCCTAACTGGAAAGATCGTAGCGGATCAAACAGCAACATCTATCCCTGACAGTGTCCCCATGCATGCATAATACGACATAAATATAATTAATGCACCATTTGACTGTGCATTGCGTAAATAAATTACTTTGTATAATTATTTTAAGTTCTATATTGTCAACCAATCGCTCTATATATATACCTTAATTTGCGATAGTCAACTCGATTGCGATGCCCGTGGTGTGGTACCAGCGTGGTCACTACATTGGATTGGACAACACTTTAGGTCCATGAATTATTACTGTGAAAGTGTTTTGACAAACAGTAATAAGTCATTAGTTTTGTCAAATGGGATGAAATGAAGCCATTTATTGCATAGTCCAAATTAGGCCCACACTTCTACGTTAAATGGGCTGAAATTAGGTCGACCCGATCGAATGTAAAATGGAAAAAGTATACTTTGACTCCCTCAAGTATCGCCCGAGTATGATTCATGTCCTCCAACCACAAAACCGGGTATATCGACTCCTCTAACTATCAAAACCGGTGCAAACAATACCCCTCAGTGGTTTTGGAGGACGTGGCGCCTACATGGCGGTCTTGACTAAGTCTTTGTCCAACGTGGCGCTTACGTGGCACTAGAATAAAACCAAAAATAAAAAATATGTGGGACCCATACGTCATTCACACGAAGAAGTACTGTGGAACCACTGACATGTGGGACCCACATGTCATCCTCCCTCTCCTCCCCTCTCTCCGTTATCTCTCTCCCCCGGCCTTTCTGTTCACTGCGGCGGGGACGACAGTGGGGAGCGGCGGTCGGGACAACCGCGGTGGGGAGCGGGCGGTGGTGGCGGTGGGGACGAGGCGGTGGGGAAATGAAGCCATTTATTACATAGCCGAGATCGGTGTTGTCCCTGCTCACCTCTAACATGGCCGCGGTCTTCTTGGGGCTCGGGTACTCCGCGGAGCTTGGGCGCCGCCGTTTCTTGCCCTTTTTCATTGCAATCATGGCGCAAAGAAGCACGGCCATGAACGATCCGGCGGTAGCCGCACCGAATGAATCCAACAAGCTGATGTTGTCACGTTGCAGTCCGTCGCCGGTGGCCGCGGCACTCTGCATCGGGGGAGCGGTGGAGCTGTTCTTGCCAGGTCCGTGAAAGAAGAGGAGGTGGGACCCCTGGCACTTGCGGTGGAGAACCTCGCCCCAGAGCTCTGGATTGCGAACGCGGCGGCGCCCATCTGCGCCATGACGGGGGTGATCGACACAATACTCTTTTTTTTAATGACATATGGGTCCCACATTTTTTAAAAATTTTATTCTAATGACACGTAAGCGCCACGTAGGACAAAGACTTGTCAAGACCGCCACATCAACCAAAACCATCTCCAAAACCACAGAGGGATATTGTTTGCACCGGTTTTGATGGTTGGAGGAGTGGATTTACCCGGTTTTATGGTTGGAGGATATGAATCATACTTGGGTGACAGTTGAGGGAGTCAAAGTATACTTTTTCCATGTAAAATTAATTAAGCCTCCCACGAGATAAAATGGGTCGTAAATTGACAAATTAATTAGGCCCATTTCAAAGTTCCAACGATTAATAAGCTGGATTTAGGCCTATTGATGGGCTAAATTAGACCACTCAAATCGCGCAAGTTTCAACTTTCAGTTCAGAAAGGGCTTTGTGTTCAACATGCGCGGTCGCCCACTCCCACGGTCATCTACATCTAAGCATGTGGATCTCCCTCCACTCGTTTTCTGCGTGCATAATTCCCAAACTGCCGATGTGTTCTTTAAAAAAAGTTTCTATACGAAAGTTACTTAAAAAAATCATATTGTTCTATTTTTTTAAAAAAATAGATAATATTTAATTAATCACGCACCAATAGACCGTTTTATTTTCCGTGTGCAATTCGCTTGTCGGTAACCAGCTTCAACAAACACACACTAAACAATTAAACATGGGAGTCCCTATTGCGAATTTCCTGCAGTTTACAAATCCGTTGGATCGTTTTTTCTTAACAAAACTCGGAATAAAAAAATGGATGGGATTAGTTTACCCAATCTTTTGATGATGATGCTCTTTACTATACCGTAGTAAAAAAATCAACAGCGAAAGCAACGAGTGAGAGAAAGGTGGGTGGTGCGCCGCAAGTGCATGCGCCGCCCAAACCGGCCTATTGGATTGGATTTTGGCCCGGTCGTGCTGGAACACCAACACATACTTTGCTTTATACTTGGCCGGCTGATCTAGTGTCCACTGCATTTTGCACCTGTCATGCGTACGGTATATCTTTATGTTTGTCTCCGGATTCCACTCAAATATATACTGTCTAGCTAGGACGAGATTGTGATATTTTCTAATACAACAAACTTAAAATTAAAAGAGAGGGGCATATCTAGATTCATTTTATTAGAAAATATCATATCCGATCCGTTGATTTTTTATAGGACGGAGAAAGTATGTACTACCACTTGAAAAAACAACTTTGTACATTTTTATACTCCAACACTGATTAATTACCGTGCGACTTAGTAATTCACAACTAAATATTAAATATATATATTTTGTTTTCCTTTGGAAGCACCAATTGTAATTAAGGTGTGGTGGAGTCGTGTTGGTGGGTACATACATGATTTTAACCATTACGATTATTTTTTCTATTTTTGTAAGTATTATACATTCGATAATTAAGATTATAACGAAGCACAGACAAATATTATAGTCGCACGTACGAATACGTTTTCGGTGGAATCCTGATGTAGTCGGGTATCTGATGACGCTAGTCTCTTTAACCATATCTTAGGAGATGCATTGATCATGTCCGATGCGCGCACTCGTAGAATTAAAAAATAAATCTCTTGTTTTAAGAAAAGATGAATTTGCAGGAGAGGGGTTGACATTATTCAAAAAGAAAAAGACTCAATTATTCTCGAACTTGTTGAATAATTAAATTGGTCGAACAACAACCTTTTATCCCTGCACAGCTTATCCGGAGTATCGTACCTTATCATGTATCCAGCATGTGTCCCTACTTATCTCGCATGGATGCGGTTTCTCATGCGGAGATAAAGGTACCAAAGGAAAAAAAATAGCATAAATGAGCATAGTACATTATATTATATTATATTATCAGTATGTAATGCTTACCTTAGCTACAGGATTAGTACGAAGGCACCAAAGTACTGGATCCATCTATGTTTCTCCTGGAATTCGTTATGCACGGTCGTGCTGATGTCAATCAGTCAATGTGTGCCAGCCAACACCATCTGCTAATTCACTATAATTCAGTCTATAACGTGTGCTCCTACAATTTTTTTTCTTTACTATTATATTTCAGTTTCAATATCAGTATATTACTTTTACGCACAAAAGAAATGTTGGTTTCATATAACTATCCTTCAAAAATGTATTAACTCTGTTTTTAAAAATATATATATATGATGCATTTGACTTTTAGACATATCGTTGACTATTTATTTTATTTAAAATTTTGTGCATATATCTAAAAATATAAACCGTGCATGCTTAATTAAAGTACAATAGTAGCGGCAGACAATCCCCGTCGACATAAATACCAGTTAGATTAGATTACCCCGCAATAACTGAAAAATATTTTACAAAATACCATGTAATTGCCAGATATTTTAGTTTCAAACCCCTCCATTGGAATTAACTAGTTTTCATGTATAAGGTAGTGCTGGGGGTAAAATAAAAGCTATAAATTAATGTATAAGTGACGCTAAAACTTAACCCACATGGAAATTTCAAAAACTCACCTACTTAACCACAAGCCAGCTGAAACTTTTATACCATATTTTTCCT